TATTTTTAATATTTCCAAAATTGTTAGTAGAGCTGTCTTTACAATTTTTTTTTTTTTTTTTTTTTTGAGACGGAGTCTTGCTCTGTCACCCAGGCTGGAGTGCAGTGGCCGGATCTCAGCTCACTGCAAGCTCCGCCTCCCGGGTTTACGCCATTCTCCTGCCTGAGCCTCCCAAGTAGCTGGGACTACAGGCGCCTGCCACCTCGCCCGGCTAGTTTTTTTTTTTTTGTATTTTTTAGTAGACACGGGGTTTCACCGTGTTAGCCAGGATGGTCTCGATCTCCTGACCTTGTGATCCGCCTGTCTCGGCCTCCCAAAGTGTTGGAATTACAGGCTTATGCCACTGCGCCCGGCCTACAAATTTTTATGGATTTAAATGACACCCGTTTTTAATCCCAGCACTTTGGGAGGCCGAGGTGGGCATATCACCTGAAGTCAGGCGTTCGAGACCAGCCTGGCCAACAGGGTGAAATCCCTTCTCTACTAAAAATATAAAAATTAGCTGCATGTGGTGGCACGCACCTGTCATCCCAGCTACGCAGAAGGCTGAGGCAGGAGAATCGCTTGAACCCTGGAGGCGGAGGTTGCAATCAATCAATCAATCAATCAATCAATAATAAATAAATTACATCTATTTTCATTCTTAATTTTATCTACAATATTTGTTCTCTCCCCCTCCTTTGTCTTAGTTTTTCTATTTTATTGATTCTCCTCTCTAAAACAGCACTGTCCAACAAAGGTCGGCAGTGATGGAAAAGTTCTGTGTCTGTTCTATCCATTTCAGTAGTCACCAACCATACATGGCCCCTGAGCACTGGAAACTTGGCTCGTGTGACTGAGAAAATGAATTTTTAATTTAATTTTCGCATGGGTTGTGGCCACCCCTAGTGAGCAGCATCGCTCTAAAAGATCCAGCTTTTTGATTTTGTCAGTTCTATTTGTTTTCTAATCGGTTCGTTTGTGCTAATTTATTATTTCCAATATTCATTGTCTCATTTTTGTGATTTCTCTCTATATCTTTATAATAAACTATCAAGCAAATTTTCTCCATCATCATTTAAACGTCTGCCTTCGTCTCCATGTTCGCATCGTTGTCATCTTACAATAGGCTGTCCTTGCAGTGTTTCGATCCTCCAACTTAAGACTTATGGGTTGGTTGGTTTTTTTTTGTTTTTTGTTTTTGTTTTTGTTTTTGTTTGAGATGGAGGTTAGCTCTTATTGCCAAGGCTAGAGTCCAATGGTGTGATCTTGGCTCACTGCAACCTCTGCCCGCTGGGTTCAAGCAATTCTCCTGCCTCAGCCTCCCAAGTAGCTAGGATTACAGGTATGCTCCACCACCCTCGGCTAATTTTTGTACTTTTAATAGAGACGGGGTTTCACCACGTTGACCAGGCTGGTCTCAAACTCCTGACCTCAGGGGATCAAAGTGCTGGTATTACAGGCGTGAGCCACGACGCCTGGCCCTTTTGGGTTTCATTTTATTTTTAATTATCAAGTGGTAGGAGTCTCTCTTGCATGCTTGTTCAGTTAAGCTTTTTTTTTTTTTGAGACGGAGTCTCGCTCTGTCGCCCAGGCTGGAGTGCAGTGGCCGGATCTCAGCTCACTGCAAGCTCCGCCTCCCGGGTTTACGCCATTCTCCTGCCTCAGCCTCCCGAGTAGCTGGGACTACAGGCGCCCACCACCTCGCCCGGCTAGTTTTTTGTATTTTTTTAGTAGAGACGGGTTTCACCGTGTTAGCCAGGATGGTCTCGATCTCCTGACCTCGTGATCCGCCCATCCTGGCCTCCCAAAGTGCTGGGATTACAGGCTTGAGCCACCACGCCTGGCCTAGTTAAGCTTTTAAAAATTAATTTCCAGTTATGCTTACTTGCAGCCAGAGATTAGAGCCAGTACAATGTCTGCTTTTATGGAATGCATTGGTTTGGGGTGGTTTTTTTTTTTCCCCCCCCAGATTTAACAGATGATTACTTTTTCTAACTATTCCAAGAGCACTTTAAAATGTATATTGTTTGCAGAGTGCAAAGTTCAGTCCTATCTGTTACCGCAATCTTATTAACCATGTTGTTCAAACTTTTTGTTACCTGAGTCTTATCTCCCAGATCAAGGCTGTGTTGGAGTCTTCTCCGAAGTTTCTCCTTGCATTTCCAACAATTTGCCCTCTAACAGTTTAATTCTATTCTAGGTGACCCTCAACTCATTAAAGATCATCCCTTCAAACGATGCAAAAGCTCTCCCTCTCTCCCTGAAAATGCCTTGCATCTTGAATTCTTTGCTTATTTTTCTCTGTTCAAATTTAGCCACATGTTGAAGTTTTCTGTGTCGTTTTTGGAAATAGGTATGACCATCTGCAAGAGGCACAGAGAAAGAGAACCACAGCCTCCATGGGAACAAGGAAGTGGGAATGGGATGAGAGTTTGGAATCGATCTCCGTGGAAGGTCTGAATAGCAAGGCGGGTTTCCCTGGGGACAATCTCAGCCATAAAAAAGTTCCGCTCACATGACTGATGGCTTTTCAATAACAAGTATATGGCAGTCTTGAATGTGCACAGGTCAACAGTTTTCCCGGGAGCTGCTACACGCATGGGGAGCTTTCCTGGGAGCTGGCGGAGTCTAGGGACAGCGACAGGGAATGGAGAAAATTTCCTCAACTCCTGAAGGACACAGGTGCCCATGGGGACATACTGCATTTCTGCAGAGGCACCGTGAAACAGAATCATTAAGTCAGAAGGAAAATGCACCTATTTCAAATTCCATTGTGACAAAAGGGAGACGACTTTTAGCTTACTTCCCGATTCTGTGGGTTCCTAAAAGCCAGGATGACTGCTTTAATTTTTATTTTTTATTATTTTATTGTATTTATTTATTTTTGAGACGGAGTTTCACTCTTGCCACCCAGGCTGGAGTGCAGTGGTATGATCTTGGCTCACTGCAATCTCTGCCTCCCGGGTTCAAGGAATTCTCCCGCCTCAGCCTCCTGAGTAGCTGGGATTACAGGCTCCTGGCTCACTGCAACCTCCACCTCCTGGGTTCAAGCAATTCTCCTGCCTCAGCCTCCTGAGTAGCTGGGATTACAGGTGCCCAGCACCACACCCAGCTATTTTCGTTTTGTTTTGTTTTTTTGGATTTTTAGTAGAGATGGGGTTTCACCATGTTGGCCAGGCTGGTCTCGAACTCCTGACCTCAGGTGATCCACCTGCCTCGGCCTCCCAAAGTGCTGGGATTACACAGGTCGCCCAGCCTGGAATGACTGCTTTGTTTTCCCCTCTAGAAGTTAGGAGAGGCTCCGTGTGTCATCTCCCTGCCAGAAGCCTCGTGGCCTCGTTTTCCCACAGGGGGCCACTCCCCGTGTATACACCTCAGACACTGCTATTCTGTCAGAAAAACATGTAAAGTTCTCTGACTGGGGGAAATGTCCATTTCCTGCCCATGTTGATTTCAACAAAAGAAAGGAATAGTTTCCCGCTGGATCCTCAGACTTCACTGGCTTATCAGCCCCACCTTGCAGCTGCTCTTCGTCCACCAGAGCAAACAGGCCAGACACCTGGAACTTCCCAGCTCTACCTGGATTTATGCTACTGATGACGGCACCTATGCACGGAAAATGCAATAAGGAAAATAAAGACAAACAATGCTCCCCTATCAGACTGGCTGCTGAATATCATCATGTAAGAAAGATGGGTAGAGCCGGGCACGGTGGCTCATGCCTGTAATCCCAGCACTTTGGAAGGCCGAGGCGGGCAGAGCACTTGAGGTCAGGAGTTCGAGACCAGCCTAGCCAACATGGCAAAACCTCATTTCTACTAAATATACCAAAAAAAGTAGCCGGGCATGGTGGCAGGTGCCCGTAATCCCAGCTGCTCAGGAGGCTGAGGCAGGAGAATCGCTTGATCCCAGGAGGCAGAAGTTGCGGTGAGCCAAGATGGCACCACTGCACTCCAGCTTGGGCAACAAAAGCAAAACCTCGTCTCAAAAAAAAAAAAAAAAAAGAAAAAGAAGAAAAAAAAAGTTTACTAGGCAGCAGAACACCTCCTGTTGCTTGTCCCATTCTCTAGTGGCTTCCATCAACAGATCTGAGCTCTTACGGAGTGTCCAGCACCATCTGAGCTCCAGATACAAGCTAATGGTTAAAACAGACCATTCCACAGCCTAGAGGGTAGACAGAGAGAAATCAGCATGGGGCACACAAGAACATTTCCTTACAAATTGTGACCATGCTCCAAGCAAGTTCACAGGGGGCTGAAATGCCTAGGTTGTTAATTTCCTCACAAGGTTGTTCTATAAAAGTCAAAGTGTTACTTTCGTGCATTGAAAACCCAGAGCGCCAAATGCCAACTTTCTAGCTCAGTTTCTGCCTTCCTTCCTCATCTCTGCTGTGCAATCAAACTAAGGAACAGATGGACAGCCAGCCATGCCTGTCTGTCCCGCAGCAGTCAGGCCTAAGATGGGGACAGTAGGGGGAGTGCAGAGAAATTCTACATTGTCCAAATCTGCTCTCTTGGCTTCCTGCAGTGGCTCTCTCATGCCTGTAATCCCGGTACTTTAGGAGGCTGAGGCCAGAGGATCACTTGAGGTCAGGAGTTCAAGACCAGCCTGGGCAACATGGCAAGTCCGCCCCCCCACCCACCGCCATCTCTACACATAATACAAAAATTAGGTTGGCATTGTGGTGCACACCTGTAGTCCCAGCTACTCGGGAGGCTAAGGTGGGAGGATCGATTAGCCCAGGAGGTCAAAGCTGCAGTAGGCTATGATTGCACTCCAGCCTGGGTGACAGAGTGAGACACCGTCTGAGGCTCTCCCCTCAGACCTGCGAGCCACAGCTTCCATCGCCAGCACGTGGAGTGCAAGGACTTATGGTATCAGGCAGACCTGAGTTTCAAGCAGACAGAGCTACTTCCTGGTCACATGACTCTGCGTTCTGTGCCTCAGTTTCCCCATGTACAGAAGGGAACCATCGAAGTACCTTGGGCTGACTTGAGTACTAGAAGGGATGATGCACAAAACAGTACTCACAACTTCCTTTATTTCATGGGGAGGAGAGGGTTGGACAGATTAAACCAGGGATCCCCCACCCCTCGGGGAGTTGAGACACAGAATCTCATTCTGTAACCCAGGCTGGAGTGCAGTGGGTATGATCACAGCTCACTGCAGCTTCCACCTCTTGGGCTCACTCAATCCTCCCACCTGAGCCTCCTAAGTAGCTGGGACTACAGGCACACACTTAGGATCCACACTCAGCTAATTTTGGTATTTGTTGTGCAGACGGGGTTTGGCCATGTTGCCCAGTCTAGTTTCAAACCAGCCAGTTAGGAACCAGGCTGTACAGCAGGAGGTGAGCGGCAGGCGAGCGATGGAAGCTTCATCTGTATTTACAGTCACTCCCCATCACTCGTATGACCACCTGAGCTGTGCCTCCTGTCAGATCAGCAGCAGCATTAGATTCTCATAGAAGCATGAACCCTATTGTGACCTGTGCATACGAGGTATCTAGGTTGCACACTCCTTATGAGAATCTAATGCTTGATGATCTGTCACTGTCTCCCATCACCACCAAATGGGATCATGAGGTCAGGAGTTCGAGACCAGCCTGACCAACATGGTGAAACCCCGTCTCTACTAAAAACACAAAAATTTGCTGGGTGTGGTGGTGAGTGCCTGTAATCCAAGCTACTCGGGGAGGGCTGAGCAGGAGAAGCTCTGTGTATACTCTCAGGAGGGTGGAGTATGCCAGTCAGCCGAACCTCACGCCCATTGCTACTTCCAGCCGCTGGGCCAATGTGGATGGCTGAGACTCCATCTCAAAAAAAAAAAAAAAGAGAGAATATAATGCCTGATGATCTGTCACTGTCTCCCATCACCCCCAGAATGGACCGTCTAATGCAGGAAAACCAGCTCAGGGCTCCCACTGATTCTACATCATGGTGAGTTATACAATTATTTCATTGTATATTACAATGTAATAATAATATAAATAAAGTGCACGACAAATGTAATGGGCTTGAATCATCCTGAAACCGCCCCCCACCCCCAGCCCCGGCTCAGTCTGTGGAAACATTGTCTTCCACAAAACCAGTCCTTTGGTGTCAAAAAGGTTGCTGGCCTCGGGATTCAATGATGGAATTCAAAGCGTGCATTGAGCAACTGTAGTAGTTGTTGTTGATGCATTCTTTGAAAACTTTGATGCATTCTTGGGAAAACTGTGTTTGTCCCCACTTTTGTGTGTTGCTCCCAAATCGTCCAGGTCCCGGAGGCAGAGCTGCTGTTGCTGGTGACCCGAACTGGTAACTGGTCCTTCCGGGCAGTTGATCCTGTCAGTCCAACCCGTCACCTCGCTCCATTCAATTCAGCAAACGCAAATATGAACCCGATCTGTGCCAAGTAGCCCCTGGCCAGGCACAGGAAGCGGACACTGCCCTCCAAGATCCCACAACTGAGCCCAGGAGGATCACAACCAGACACTGCTATCTGTGCATCTGGGTCTGAACCCACAGTCTCTCCACATTCCCATCAACCCTGCATTCTCCTCTTTCCTAAAAGGACACAACCCAAAAGAGTCATCAAGGAAGGCTGGGCAGGGTGGCTCACACCTGTAATCCCAGCACTTTGGGAGGCCAAAGCGGGTGGATCACTTGAGGTCAGGAGTTCGAGACCAGCCTGGCCAACATGATGAAACTAAAAAATACAAAAAGTGTACAAAAATACAAAAATTCTACTAAGAAAAAGAAAAATTAGCCAGGTGTGGTGGCACACTGTAATCCCAGCTACTTGGGAGGCTGAGGCACGAGAATTCCTTGAACCCGGTAGGACGAGGTTTCAGTGAACAGAGATTGCACCACGGCACTCCAGCCTGGGCGGCAGACTGAGACTCTATCTCAACAACAACAACAACAAAAACAAACAAAAAGTTATCAAGGAATAAATAAAACAGGTGACATGCTGTTTTTCTAAAGCCCAGATATCACGTTGTCAACCACACTTCCTGACAACACCTAAATCCCCTTCGAAACCACTTGGAAGTTTCTAGAAGAGCTCACCCACAGTAACAGAACACTCAAGTCTAAAAGGGAAAACACAAAATCCCCAATTTTCCTCTCAGAAATCAGGATTTAATAGCCTCTTAAGGAAACCATAATTTGAGGGCCATTGGGTGCACTGCTCTCTAAGGCCTGTGATTATAGAACGCCGAGAATGACTGGAAACTTGAACCACCAGGGAATTTGGGCTCCAACTAAAACGAATGAGACCCATGGCTGGGCACGGTGGCTCACGCCTGTAATCCCAGCACTTTGGGAAGCCGAAGCAAGCAGATCACCTGAGGTCAGGAGTTCGAGACCAGCCTGGCCAACATGATAAAACCCCATCTCTACTAAAAATAGAAAAATTAGCCAGTCATGGTGGCAGGCACCTGTAATCCCAGCTGCTCGGGAGGCTGAGGCAGGAGAATCGCTTGAACCCGGGAGGCAGAGGTTGCAGTGAGCCAAGATGGTGCCACTGCACTCCAGCCTGGGTGACAGAGTGAGACTCCGTCTCAAAACAAAACAAAACAAAATAAAATGAATGAGACCCAAAGCAGAAGGTATAGCAAAGCCCCTTCACCCACACACAGACGCTGAGAGGAGGCTGGGGAGGGCACAAGGAAGGTGCAAAGAGGGAAAATATCACGAGAATAAAGAAACCATCTCAAATAAACATGAGTTTGCCCACGTATGTCCCCCTAGCCTGGCTAAAGAAAGAGTGGGCCGGGGCAGTGGCTCATGCCTGTAATCCCAGCACTTTGGGAGGCTGAGGCAGGAGGATCGCTTGAGACCAGAAGTTCAAGACAAGCCTGGGCAATATAGCAAGACCCATCTCTACAAGCAAGTTTAAAAACTACTTGAGGGACTGAGGCAGGAGGATCCCTAGAGCACAGGGGTTTGAGGCTGCAGTGAGCTATGATTGTGCCGTTGCACTCTAGCCGGGGTGACAGAGTGAGACCTTGTTTGAGAAGGAAGGAAAGAGGGAGGGAAGGAAGGAAGAGAGGGAGGGAAAGAAGAAAGAGAAGGAGAGATGGAGGGAGGGAGAGAGGGAGGGAGGGAAAGGAAGGAGACAGAAGAAGGGAGGGAGGGAGGGAGAGGTGAAGGGAGGGAGGGAGGGGAGGAGAAAGGGAGGGAGGGAGGGAGGAAGGAAGGAGAGAGAAGAAGGAAGGGAGGGAGGAAGGGGAGAAGGAAGGGAGGGAGGGAGAGGAGGAGGGAGGGAGGGGAGAAGGGAGGGAAGGAGGGAGGGGAGAAGGGAGGGAGGGAGGGGAGAAGGGAGGGAGGGAGAGGAGAAGGGAGGGAGGGGAGGAGAAAGGGAGGGAGGGAGGAAGGAAAGAAGAGAGAAGAAGGGAGGGAGGGAGGAAAGGGTGAAGGGAAGGAGGGAGGAAGGGGAGAAGGGAGGGAGGGAGGGGAGGAGAAAGGGAGGGAGGGAGGAGGGAGGAGGGAGGGAGAGAAAGAAAGAAAAGAGTTACAAGGAGCTTGGCCTTGGGCGTGGAAAGGGATTTGTGGTTAAGAGCTGGTCCCACTTCCAGCCCTTGTACCCCCTAGAAAACCACCTCATGTTTGGCTCACGAACTTCTGCTTCTTGGAACTCGTCTAAGTCAAAGACAACAACCCCCTCTGAGATGTCACTGATCTCATGCCACGTAACCATTCTGTGGCTGCCAGGAGGAACCGCCCATTCGGTCTTCTTGGGTTTACTCCTAATTCCACGCCCACCTCACCTTGAATTTCCCACTTTGAACTCTAAAGATCAAAGGTGTTTCTTGGTTCTCACATAGAAATCGCCCCCTTGAACTTCCTTCCTATCAGTTTCCTCAGCCTATCTTCCCTCATTATTCACAAAGAGTTCTACAGGATGCAAAGATAAAATTTAATGTACCTTTCCTTAGCAACCGGGAAAAAAAATCCCTGAAAAATTAAACAGCAGATACCCAAATAGAAACTTTGCTTTGGAAAAATGGGATCTGACCACACACACGTGCACAGGCCACACAAACCGTCATAACCTTGACCAGCTTAAGAGAACAATTCTCAAGCCAGTGAGAAAACAACAGCTGTGGCTGGGCGCCGTGGCTCACACCTGTAATTCCAGCACTTTTGGAGGCCCAAGTGGGTGGATTGCTTGAGCCCAGGAGCTCGAGACCAGCTTAGACAACATGGCAAAACCTAGTCTCTGCTAGGGATACAAAACTTAGGCCGGGTGCAGTGGCTTATGCAGGTAATCCCAGCACTTTGGGAGGCTGAGGTGGGCAGATCATGAGTCAGGAGATCCAGACCATCCTGGCCAACATGGTGAAACCCCATCCCTACTAAAAACACAAAAATACAAAAATTAGCTGGGCATGGTGGCGCGTGCCTGTAATCCCAGCTACTCGAGAGGCTGAGGCAGGAGAATCACTTGAACCAGGGAGTTGCAGGTTGCAGTGAGCCAAGATCACACCACTGCCCTCCAGCCTGGTGACACAGCGAGACTATATATATATATATATATATATATAGAGAGAGAGAGAGAGAGAGAGAGAGATACAGACAGACAGACAGAGAGACAGACAGACAGACAGAGACAGAGTCTTGCTCTGTGGTCCAGGCTGGAGTACAGTGGCACAATCTCAGCTCACTGCAGCCTCTGTTCTCGGGTTCAAGTCATTCTCCTGCCTCTGCCTCCCAAGTAGGGCTGGGATTACAGGCACCCACCACCACGCCCTGCTAATTGTTGTATTTTTAGTAGAGACGGGTAGATCCAACTCCCATCTGGATCCAACTCCCGTGTTGGATTTTTAGTAGATCCAACTCCTGATCTCAAGTGATCCACCCTCCTCGGCCTCCCAAAGTGCTGGGATTACAGGTGTTGATAAAACTGTTCTTCATACAACCAGGTAATTCGGGAAAAATGGTCCCCTTGGGGTCTGCTTGTTGGCTGGCTGGTTGGTTGGTTTGAAACAGGATCTCTCTCTGCTGCACAGGCTGGAGTGCAGTGGCACAGT